CTAAGGTGAATTGTTCTAGAGCACACACACCATGGTACCTAAGACACCTCTAGAGACCTGGGAAGTGGTTTCCTGTAGGAAGAATGTCTGAGTAGGGTGGGTCTGTGTGGAAGGGAATTCACGCTTAACCCAAACAGCCCACCCTTGGCTTCCGTGTGTGTGTGTGTGTGTGTGTGTGTGTGTGTGTGTGTGTGTGTGTGTGAACATCACAGGAGCCAGGGCTCGCTGTAGATTGAGGCTGGCGCCACAGGTACAGCCCAGAGCAGAGCTGCAGGGGGTGGGGATGGGGGGGAGAAAATCCCCTCCCCCCCAGGACAGCAAAGATTGGGGGAGGGCTAGACTTGGACCTGAGACTGCTCCCACCCTGAGTAGCCCTTTGCTTTGGATCTGGGTAGGGGCTGCCTCTTCCCTGTCTCCCACAGCAGCCAGGGCAGCTGAAACCTCAGGGCAAGTACAAAGGCTCCAGAGGGATGGGCAGCAGAGAGAGTCGAATCCGTAGCCACTGTGCACACTTAAGTAGAGGAAGGAGGGGCCGGACAGGAGTGGGGAACAGCTTGCAGGCAGTGCTGTAATAAAGGAGGGGTTCTAAAGTGCCCGGAGGGAAGAAGGATCAAGAACCGGGCAGACAGAAGCCCTACAAGGGAAAGACTGGCAGCCAGGAGACGGTGATGCTACTGAAAAAATTTGCTAGAATTTACTTACATCCAGCTAAACTATTGCCACGCCCAGGGGTTCACCCAGGATTCTAATTTGGAAATATCCCAGGGAAGAGCTCAGGAGGGAGCTGTGGGAGACCACGCAGCAGTTCCTACATTACCATCATCAAGAGAATGGACGTTGGCCTTCTAACACACAGGCCAAGCCCAGACTGGCTCACCATGCTGGAGGCATGAGGGAAGTTAGAGACAGGGCATCACTGGGCCTGTGAGTGACAGGCAGGAAGGCAGCAGCTGCAGCCAGTCAGCACAGGAGGGTGATAGAGTGACCCATGGCCAGCTCTCCCGAGGACCGGGGTCTACCCGGGGCAGAAAGGGAGGGAAAAATAGGGAAGGGAAGATCAGGCTGATAGGACTTACGCAGACCGAGGTCCCGACTACGCTAAAAAAAAAAAAAAAAAAAAAAAAAAAAAAAAAATCACACGATCTTAACTGGCAAGGGAGTTCAGTGGTTAAGGCACTTGCTTCCAAGCCTGACAACCTGAGTTTGTTTGCCACATGGTAGAAGAGGATTAGTGACTTCTGCAGGTTGTCCTCTGACCTCCACATGTAACCCCCCCCCCCATAGGATCTAGCTTGTAAGACACACCTGGAAGGTAGAAATGCCATAACAAGAAGAACTAAAGGAGGTTTTAAAAGCAGTTTTTTAAAAGGTTTATTTTTAGTTGTATGTGCACATGAGTGCTGCCTGTGGAGGCCAGGAGCAGCAAGCAGGTCATGGAGCTGGAGTTAACAGGGTATGAGTTGCCCAATGCAGGTACTGAGAATTGAATGCCCGTCCTCCAGAAAAGCAATATTGCTCTTAACCACCGAGCCATCTCTTCAGCCCCTGGGGAAGGAGTTTATTGTTTATTGTTGTGAAGGTGCGAAACATTGTGGCTGTCTATGCACGCACATGCACATCTACACATATACAACCAGTAGACGCTCAACAACCCAGAGCAACGGTGGCTGCCACAGGTAGAGAGATATGCATTGCAACGTAATGTAACATCCTGTAGAAACCTATAGGTTAGTCAAACTGAACAGCGATGATATATGTGCTTATGACATTTGTGTTTTATAGATATACATTTATGTTCATAGGGGAATCTTTATATCTTTTAAACAGGGCGGTGTGTGTGTGGAGGTACTGGGCCTGACCCCAGAACCTTCCCACACAAGGCAGATGCTCTACAATCTAGCTACATGTAAGGAAATCAAAATGCCTTACTTTGAAGACTAATATGCCCATTAGACAACCAGTCTGTAGGTTGGTTGAGACAGGCCTTACTGTGTAGCCCTGGCTATAGTCTGGAGTTTCCTATGTAGACCAGGCTGACTTGGACTTAGAGGTCCTCCTGTCCCTGCTTCCTGGGTGCTGGGGTTACAGGCATGCTCCACCATGCCTGACTAGACTGATACATTTTTAAATATGAAGTGAGAAAAAGAAGAGAGGCATGGCTATCGATAGTGTGGAGATTTCACAAAAGAATCTGATGGGCAGATATGAGCTAGCGCCTTTGCAGATGGGAATACAGACACATTTGGGGGCAATTGGCACAAGTAGAGGTTAAAGGAACTTGGGGCTGGCAAGGTTGTTGAGTGGGTGCGTGAATCCTAGCCTGACGACTTGAGTTTGAGCCCAGGACCCACACGGTAGGAATACGGGGCACAGAATCGATGTCTCGGCCAATGAGAGCACTTGCTGCTTTTGCAGCCTGCAGAGTCCTGTTCAGTTCCCAGCACATACTTAGTGTGGGTCACAATCCTCCGCAGCTCTAGTTCCAGACTCTCACACCCTGCCCTGTTCTGGCTTTGCCATGTGGGACACCAGGCACGGAGGCAAAGCACATAAAATAAAATCTTTTTCTTTACACAGTGAAAGTCAGACTGTAAAGGGGAAATAGAAGAGTGTGGGTCAGTTGTGATAAGGAGGAAGGGACAGTCCCTGAGCGGAATCAGACTCGACTTAGCCTGTTCAGTCAGAGGTCCAGCAACGGTGACAGCTGACGTCAGACTAACAGGGATGATGGCCCAGTCTTGCCGACTGGCTGAGGAAGGGAGGGGCATTCTCACCAGAATGGCAGAGTCTTCCTGACCATGGCTTCACTCTCTTGGGATTAGAGCTAGAGTCTTTCTTAATTAAGAGAGGCAGGGAAGGTGAGTGTAGTCCCCTTGTTAAGTTAGTACCTCTTGTAGCCACCTGGGGGCCTGAGAGAGAAATCACCACCTCCTTGTGGCCCCTGGTGGCAGGAGCTTGGCAGCCTGGCACCAAGAGTCAGGGATGTTCTGGAAGGACTAGAGATGAACCTGAGATGAACCTGGTGAACAGCCATCCCAAGGCTGGGCTGAAGGTGCATTTGATTTGTGTGCACCTTATGGTATTGTGGCTGGATTCGGTTTTGTGTGTCCTCGGAGGAAAGGCCAGCGGCCTGGACTGTCTCTGGAACTGGTCCCCACCACTCAGACCACCTCGGTGTTTTAGATACCTTATACTCCTGTCTCCTCAAGAAAGCCAAGGTGTGTGTCCACCAGGAGGCCTAGCCCTGTCTACTCTGCTATGGGGAGGGCACAGAGGTTTACTGAGGTGAAGGGCCAGGCTCCCAATGCCCCACAGACCACTGAAGCATCCACGATTGGCAATGTTGCTGTGGGTGGTGCAGGACACCAGGCTCCTTAGGATCTGGTACCACTTAGCCCCAACCAGGACACAGGCCTTCCTGGAAGTGGAGGGGGTATTAGAAGCCTTAAGGGCCTCTGGCAAGCCCATATCCCCAACAGTGGGCAGAGGGCCTTTGGACTTTAGTTGCCCCGTCTGTGATAGGAAGGTCTCTCTGTGCAGTCCAAGTGGACAGGAAGGGTAGAGCGTCTTCTTCCCAGCTAAGTGGATGGGCAGGCTACCCCTGTGCTCCCTGTTAGTGGAGAGGGGACAGAAATGTGCCACCAGGATAACACAGAGGATGGGCTATCTACAGCTGGGGAGGGGAGCTGCCTCTGGCCCTGGGACCTCCAACCTTCACTGACACTGTCTATGCTTCAGTCACTGGGGGAGGTTTCCTGACCTGGGCCTGTCCCGGGTGACCTCTGTTAGTGTGAGATGTCTGCTGGCTGCCCATTATCTGCTAGCCTTGTCCATCTTCACGCAGGTGCCGCAGTACCCTTGTCCTTGTCCCTTGGCTTTCGTCACTCGCAGACTAAGCCAAGAAGACTATGGGGCAATCTGTCCTAGGTGTCCAGGGGCAGTGAGTTCAGGGCCAGCCTCACACTCTTCCAATCTACCTTGTTCTAGTTGGTAGGCCAGCCTGTTTCTTCTTGATACGCTCCTCAGAGGATCAGTGGGGGGAGCAAGCCAGAGGCCACGGGGCAGGTGCTCCTGCCACAGGCACACATGAGTGTGTACACAGATACACCTACGCACATACACAGCACCCCATGGCCACCAGTTTGCTGCCCCTTTACACACACACACACACACATAACACACACACCCAGCAGCTCCAAGAAAGCGGTGTCCCGGGGTGAGGAAGATGGAGGCGTTAATCTCTTTCAGGTTGAAGGAGGTGCTAGGCTCTACCTTAGAGTCAACCCTGACTATGTCTCCTCCCTCCACTCTGGCCTGGTCTTCCCTTCAATGCAGCCACTCACAAACCTGGGTGCATATTCACCCTGCTGAGGTCTGGTGTCAGGCTGAGTCTCGACTTGGCCCTTCTGGCTGCCTTGGGTCATGGAAGCCATAAGGAGTAGCTGGCTTAGCTTGCCTAGAGACAGCCCTTCCCCAGGCCCCGGGAGGGAGGGCGTGCATTCGTGCTTTGTGCCTAGTTGGAGATTCACCTGTGTCGGTCGCTTTTGTGTAGCAAGGCTGAGCCCAGTGGGATGGGTCTGATTACACAGTGCATGCTGGGTGCTACAACCCAATCTATCACCAGCCAAGCAGAGAAAGGCGTGAGGCTCCAGCAGCAGGCTGAGGGGGCTGTTGGACAGACCTGGCCCTGCCCTAGTCTGCATGGAGGCTGCCCTTCTGGCCTGTAGGTCCCTGAGAGGGAGGGAGGGCTGCAAGGCCTGAGATCACCATACCAGAATGTCCCCACTGTGTCTGAGCTCTCTGAACCAGGCTAAGTCCTGTAAGGTCTAGCTGTTACCATCCCTGACCACACAAGCAGGAGCCACAGCCAGCAGACCTGAGGCTAGTTCTCCATGCACCTGTTATACCTTGGGGGGGGGGGAGCTCAGGTGTAAACCAAAGTTTTAAAGAAATACTTTAATGTTATTTAAAATCTCCATCACAATATCCCCGCCGGCACCTCAGGTCACCTTCCTGTCCCACTTGGGAAAGAAAAAAAGGGTCCATCTGGGAGGTTGCCCTGTGTTTTCTGCTGTGAAGGCAGCAGTCCAGTGCAACTCTTAGCCTGGGTGCAGCTCAGGTGGCCAGCAAGAGGCCAGACTGGGCTCCTACGAGAATGAGAATGTAGGCCCCCTGTAGCTCGGCTCAAAGCCTTCTGAGAAAGCAAGTGGAAGGTGTAGCTGTCCTGTGTTCTGCTCCCCCATGAGGCCGTGGGAAGGCCCAAGGAACAGGCGCATCCCATGGCAAACGGCTTGCACTTCTTGGAGTCAGGCAGAACCCCTTGCTGGTTGAAGAACTGAAGCTGTGTCCACCATGCTGGGCTTTTGAACTGTCCAGCTACACATCTGTCTCCACCCTTAGCCGCTCCATCCTGCGCACATTCCCTTCCACCGCCACACGGCTGGTGATGCAGCGAGCAAAGCTCTCAGGAAACCAGCCAGTTTCTCCATCCCGAAGCCTCTCGCCATGTAGCCAGCCTGGATGCACAAGGGTAGATGAGAGGGGTCCCTCCCATCCCCACCTCTGCTCTTGAGGGTCCTTGCGCTTGGGTGACTATTGGAACTGAGCGCCCTTCCTGCCTCAAGAGAGCCAAGGGGACATCACTCAAGGCCACCTGGGCTCCCAGCAGCTCCATCACTGGGGGGGGGGCATGACCTGGGCCCTGTAGAGGCCTATGATGGGACCACCATGGGAGCAGACACTTAGGGCTCAGAGTGATGAATTCACTTTGGTCCCATGACTCCAGCACCCATGGTCCTCCCTTTGAGGAGACTGAGTGTGGTGTGTTTATGCGTGTATAGAAGGATCCACATACACACACACTCATGTGCATGGAGCTTGCCAATTAGGCTAGGCTGACGGCTCAATGAGCCCTTGAGATCTGCATGTCTTTGCTTTCCTAGCAATGGGATGAGGCAAGCATGTGCTAACTTACTCAGCTGCCTTTTTACATGGGCTCTTGAGTACAAAATCAGGTCCAACGGAGCCATCTCCCCAGCCCCAACCTTTGGGGAAGTTCCTGGCTGGTCACTGTACCCCGGTACACTCTGTACCCTAGTCTGGTTGATGCCCACTCAAGTGTGGCCCATCCACACTCACCATCCTCTTCCTGGAGGACCAGGACAACATCAGCCTGCTGCAATGTGATCTCGTCAGCCTGCTTGGCAAGGTACGCCTTGGTGATCTCCACCTGGGGCAGCTCTGGGGGAAATGGAGAGAGCTAGGCCCAGCACAAGATAGATAGCTTCCCCTGGGATGAAGACTCTCCCTTAAGGGCCCCAGGTAACACTTCTGATGGGCCTCAGTTTCCCCAGCTGCAGGACCTCAGGCCTCTTCGGAAGGACCAATAAGGCTAAGCTGTGGTGTGGCCTGGGGTCTAGGACAGGCCATCCTTACTCCAGGGCTGCAACCCTGCACACGCTGACCCCATACTCACCGCCTTTGTCGATGTCCTGCCACTGCCTCTCCTTGTAGGTGAGGGCTGTGATCCACCGGGCCCGTTCACTCCTGGAGCCACAGAGAGCAGTCGAGACTGACCCTTCCTCCCTTCCCTCTTGGGGTCCATGAGTTACTTATGTTCTAGGTCCCAGCTTCACTGACTATGCTGACTTGCCCCATTGTGTGCTGCTTCAGCTCCTGACATTGCCCTGTTGCCTGGCAACATGGAGTTCCTGCCTCAAGGCCTTTGCACAGCGGTGGTGGTGCTGCGGCTGAGGACCCTTCCCTCTCCCTCCCAGCTTTGACCTAACCACCACCCGGATAACAATGAAATGCCCATCAGTCACATATCCACACTCTTCCACTCTTCCCCTTGAAGCTCCCTCCCTGGATACTGCACAGCCATCCATCGGCTGGTGTAGTCCCACGAGGAAAACAAATACCCACAGATAGGCTGTGTTTTGCATACCGCCCACCCCTGACAGTGCTCAGCATACAGGAGGTGCTCAGAAATGAATGGGGCAGCACATCCCATCCTCGTGGGGCTCCTGCTTGCACACGTGACCCCCCTCCCCCACTGCACACGTGTTGGGTCCATCATCTTACGCAGAGTCGGAAGACAACAGGATCTGCTCCTGGCGGCCCTCACTGTTGCATAGCAGGTTCACTTGGAAGGGGTGGGGTACAGCGGAACTTCGGCTGCTGCCTCCTGGCAGTGAGGGCTCTGAGGCCTCCAGCTTCCTGACCTCTATGTGGTCTAGCTGTGCATAATCTTGGACCAGATAGTTCTCCTCACTGTGGGGACACAGGAGTCATTAGTCCAGGGCCAGTTAACCTCAAGGGGGTACTAAGACTTGTCTCCTGGGCCTGGCGACAGCCTCCGTGGCCAGAGAAGGAAACCCAGGTCAGTAGAGAACATAGATCTGACCGTATAGAGCCACGTGGCCATCCCAGATCAGGTGAGGTGTAGCACTGAATGCCAACCAAGGTCAGAGGGGGCCAGGGCCACGGCTGGCTGCTCTCTAGTGTGACATCTGCAGCCTACCTTTTCTTCTTGGTGACAACCAGGACATCGTTGAAGAGGAACAGGTAGCATGTGGGTCGGCTGGCAATTTTCCTAAAGATACTGGATTCCTCCATGAGGAAGAGCTCCCCACGCTTCAGCAGCCAGCGAGAGGCAGAGGTGAGTGGGAAGGACTAGAGACAGAGTGGACAGATGAAGGAGACAGCCATGGCGAGGTGGGGGCAAGGATAGGGACAATCCCTGCCTTCCTGAACCTTAAGGAATGGCCGTTCGCTTGGCCCACAGGTACCAGGGCCGGCCCTGTGCCCTGCTCTAACCCTAAAGAACCGGGCCCAGTTGTCTGGGTACTTGCCGAATGTTCTGCCTAAGCTATGGGGTGGGACCAGTCCTAGAAAGCTCATGACACCTCCTTGCCCCCAAATCAGGGACGCTCAGGGGATCCCCCAGGCAGATGGCCCCAGAAGCCCCTCCCTCTTATGGTGAGGACAATAGGGTGGGGTGGGTGGGGTTGGCACGGCACCTACCTTGACCTTACTGAAATCCAGCTGCATGTGCAGTGTGTACATCTGCTCCGTGCGTTCCATCGTGTGGGCACCCTCATTACACTGTCTTACCAGCTGCGGGGGGGGGGGGGGGAGAGGTTCCACAAATACCACAGACATGGACTTCGGTCCACAGAGCGGCTGCCTTCCCGGCGACACTGCCCTGGACCTAGTCCCCTTCTCCATAGATGCCACAAAGTTTGGGATGGATAATTAATTGTTAGATAAGCTGGGGTAGAAGTTGCCTTACCTTGCTGATGGCCTTCAGGGCGTGGCTGGCGGCTTTATACCTTTCGGGGTGACTCTGTGTCTTCAGGCAGAGTGTCTGGGGGGATGGAGACAGCAGCTATAAAGTCCCTCCCAATGAGCCCTGCATGGGCAGGGGCTCCCCACCAGTTCCAGACTCTAGAAGTGAGGGAGGGGCCTCAAGGCAAGCAAGGACATCCAGAGAGGGCTGGATGGAACCCACCAGTGTGTCTGTAGCCCACAACTGGCCTCCACACCTCTGCTGCCAAGCCAGGGAAAGGGAGCCGGCACCACGCATCCTGCCCTTTACATTCTGGGGAATGGTGGTATGTCTACAGTTCCAGGGCCGAGGGTGTATGGGGACTTGCCTGAGAAGTGTCTACAGTTATGTTACCGACGGCAAAGTGATCAAGATTAATCACACCGTCTTATACGCATTGTGATTATCCAGTTACAGATGTATGCGTGGGGAGGGAGAGGTCAGAGAGGTAACTTCATGAAGGCAGGGCCTCCAGGGAGGTTCCTGCAGCTGCACCCTGCACCCAAGCCTCCTCCTGGACACTCACATCTGTCAGGAGTGGCAGCCGGGTCACCCTCTGCATGGGGAGAATCAGGAAGGAGATCATAGGCAGGCCCCCACACGCAGGCCGTTTCTCAATGTCCCTGAGCACTTCTCGGAAGGCAGCATTGCTGTTCCTGCGACAGGGAAACTTTGTCACTTGACTTTGGAAAGAGGTGGCGCAGGCGGGACCTGCATGGGGTGGTCTGGGGTCTGGGAGCAGGAGGGACCCACTCACGACAGCTTCTGCAGGGTGCGCTGCTGGTAGACCTCGTTGGAGCAGTAGGCCACATACGGGAGGAAGTGCTTCTCAGCGTACTCCTCCAAGATGTCACTGATGTCCTCCACACACACCTGCGCCTTGTGCCTCTGTTCCAAGGCTTCAAAGAACCTGCAGCATTGGAGTGGGGAGCAGTTGGGGAAGCGACACACACACACACACACACACACACATAGATCGATCTTGCAGTATGTGGCAGGTGCTCAATGGGTCAGGCAGAACCTGTGTAAGCTAGACCTCTCCCCTCCCCCCTGACAGATCAGCTCTCCACACTCACTGCCTTAGTAACATCCAACCGTGTATCTGTCCCTGGGTGTGAATTCAAGGACAGAGGTGTAACGACCCTATAATGCATTGGGGCCCTAAGAGACCCAGGGAGAGCCATGTATCTCTCTAGGGATGGATCTTTAAGCTAAGGTGGTTCTGCCAGCCAAACTCCCTGCAAGGCTTCACAACTATCCACTTTCGTGGTGTCCAGCCCATAATGGATAAGCAGGGAGGCCTGGGCTCTGGGCAGAGTCCTGGAGAGACTGCTGTCTTCCATGAGCTAGGCAGGATGATGATAAAGTGAGCAAATGACACCAACGGTTGGCCCAGAGTTTTCTGGGTCTTGGCCACCTGGTATGTGGGACCAGTGGCTGGTCCTGAGCTATGTCCATGTCTCTAGGCCCTGATTTAGGCAGCTGGGAGAACTTTCTCCATCTGAAAAGACCCTTCCAGGCTTGGGTATTAGCATGGGCCCTTAGGATCCAGCAGATCCTCTAATCCGCATGGACACATTTCCTATAAGTAAGTAAGTAAGACTTTTACGAGTCACTGGCCCTTGGGAAAAGCTGTGTTAACTAGTTGAGAGGTTCAAAAGTGCATGGGCCCCCATGGATGTGCCTGGACACATCCACCACACACAAGTAGGCAGGCCAGGCCACTCAGCTGAAATGCATGAGTCCTAGGGTTTCCTGGAAAGGTCTGGAAGGGCCAGCCTCCCACTACTGGCCCCAAATAGCATAATTCTCAGAGGAGGTTACTATGATTGCCTAGGGAGGAGGCTAAAGAGTCCCACACCAGGGCAGCAATGGCCATGCGAGCAATTAGAGGCTGCACAGCATCAAGGGAGCACACTGGGGGCAGGAGTCTGCATGAGGGTCACCCACTTCCCGGGACCCCTCCTCTGATGAATCAGGAGTGGGTAGTTCCCACAGCTGGCCACTGAATCTCTTACAGGAAGCCCCTGTCTCCAGGGATATGACAGTCCCCAGTTCTCTGTCTAAATAGATGGCTTGGAAACTTCCAGAGCAGCAGATTCAGCAAGGGCCAGGATGGCCCTGACATGCAGGGGCTAGCGCCCTACGTTTGGAGGGCCCAGCTTGTGAATCAGCACCCTGTGACCTACTCTTTGACACCGCTGAGACCCAGGAGAAGGCACCAGCCTCATCTAACAGGCTACAGGGACAGCAGCAGCAAGGGCAGACCCCACACACAGCATGACGGGACCATGCTAAGGATGTGAACATGTGCACAGATACAGGTATGAGCAAACACATATGGGCAGGCACTATGCCTAGTGCTGGAGTGAGATATGCAAAGATACAGACAGACATGTACATGCACAAAGCACATATAATACTCGTACATGCATTCACGAAAGCACTTGCACACACATACAAGATCCCTACATGCCCTCCCTAGCCTGCAGCTGCATGCCTGGCTGGGTGAGGACTCTGTGGGCTATGCCCATGCCCAGTGCTGAGGTGAGATGCCCAGTGTCCCCACAGCCAGCTCTCAAGGGTTACTAGATGTTGTCATACTCTGCTCCAAGCTTCCCATCCACAGGTACAACCCAGGGCCCACATCGAACTCGCTGACGACATCCCTAGAGGCAAGGTGAAGCAGCATTCTAGGGGACCCAGGCAGCCCCAGATGTGGAAGGAAAGGGAAGCTCACTTCTTACTGGCAGCTTGCACGTCCAAGATGTTGGAGAAGAGGTGGTGATACTCCGTCTGTGTCATGGTTTTCTTTAGCTCCTGGGACTCCAGGAACTCCTTCACCAGGATGTTCAGGCTGTGCAGATAGGAGAACTCAGATGTGAGGATCTCGAAGATGGCCTGCATGAGAAGACGATGCTCAGAATGACAGGGCACGCTCCGGTAGGGGGAGGGGAGACTGGGGTGCAGGCCCCTTCGGAGGGCTGTCGTGACTGCTTCACGGGCCACGAGTCCATATTCCCTATGTGTTCTGGCTCACCAACTCAGGCTGTGTGGAGGTGGCCAGGACTTTGCTTTCTGGGGAAGATGGCACATCCAGTACCGACACATGCTAAGCAAATACTCTACCACTGAGCCAGGACTCTGGGTCTTCCTGAGAAGGCAAAGGTAGGCTCCTTCCTGATGTCCCTTGAGGATTCACGAGGCAATGAAGGGGCTCGGCCCCTGATGTGGCCATTAGGGTAATGGAGGAGAGGGTTTCACTGTGGTTCTAGTCTCTAACTCCCAGGGTACCGTGTGGCCCATATACCATGTCTAGGGCCTGACTCCCAGTGAACTTACCTCCTGCCTCTTGCGTTCCTCCACAGATAGCGTGTCCAGGACACCTGACTCCAGCACCTGCAGAGAGCACAGGGTGACCCATTCTCCTCTGGGCCAGACCCAGCCTGGAGAGCTGGCCACTTCCATCAGGAACCTTCCGCTGTCTACATCTCCCCAGTTTATCTTCCTCTCCATAGAAACCTCCCAGGACAGTGCCAGCCCATCTCTAGAGCTGTGGACCAGGAACAGACAGAGTCCACAGGAACAGAGTGTGTGGGGTAATGACTCAGACACCGTCTGGGCAGCTGAGTCACAGTCCTGCCAGGGAAGGCATAGGCCATTATCGCCTGCACTCTTGGGGCCAAAGCCAGGCTGCCGTAGTGTGGCTCCCCCCCATGCCTATAACAGTAGATAGAGCATGTCAGGGCAGGCTGGACCACCATTTGTGTTCTCCTACTCACAGGCTGGCAGAAGAGGCACTGTCAACACTGCATAGGCCACTGTCAACAATGCATTGTTTCCAAGCACGAATAAGCCAGCCAGGCAGGCTCTAAATATCCAGCAATGTAATGTTGTGCAGTGTGCTGCACCACCCCCAGGTTCTAGCATCCAACAGGGTAATAAATGTGTATTTCTGGACATTTCTACTTGTGAATCACAGAGTCTGCTTTGCTCCAGCCCTTGGCTGGACCCTCCCTGGCTAGGGTCCCATCGTCGGCACTCGTATGGGAGAATGCCTGGATTCACCGCCCCCATTTCCTGCCACACCCACAGCCTGCAAAGAACAGGGGGCACGTGCCTCTAACAGCAGCCACCCAGGTCCCTGGTGCATCAGGGTCACCACTCTGGCCCGGCTTTTTTGACTGAGCTCTCACAGCCTGGACAGGGTCCTATTTTGAGATGTGGGGAGGCTGCCCTAGTGAGAGATGAGGGTCTTAGGAAGGGGGCTCCTTGTGCTCCAGCCACATATCAGGACAGAAGACAGACGACTGTGTTCCAGTGACATATATCTGCAAGCTAAGGCTGAGCTCTTTATAAGGGCCTGGGCTACCACAAACTGGGAAGGGAAGGACATGGGGCTCCTTACCTCTGGAAGCTGGCTCCAGGTGAGCTGGGCAGGCCGGTAGCTCTTGACCACGATGGTGGTGTCCACTCTCTGAGTTCCTTCTGGGCTGGAGGGCTCATCGAGTACATCGTCATCAGACTCATGACTGGTATTTAGACCCCGCTCTCGGATCTCCTGGTACAACTGGGGGTCTGGAGAGACCAGAGTTGCCTGTCTGCATGAGGGTTTGGGGGTAGCCTGGCCCCCCCAAGGGCCCCACAAAGCTCTCAGAAACATGTAGGCTCCCCTATGGCCCACTGGGTCCTACAGTGTTATAAAGACAGTCTGGGAGATGGTAGCAGCCCAGTGTAGAATGTAGCACTCCAGGTCAGGGCCATGTGGACCAACCAGAGCTGCACAAGGCCTGTGCCTGGTCTGGGAGATGGAGGCTGGGGGGCTCAGGTGGGGCCTGAATATGCTGGCTGCTGCCCATGGGCCAACAATACTCCCAGCCCGGTCTAGCCTGGGCCAACCCAGTTCAGGACATCTCTGAGTCCGTGCAGCTGCTGTGTCAGCCTACGTCTGAGCCTGGGCATGGTTGCTATTGCTGCTGCTGCACCCAGGGAATGCATCCCAGAGACTTTGCAGAGGGGTTCAGATCCTTGTGTTCTGGCCCATGGCCACCCATAGAGTTGACATGGGCCAGGAGGGAGGGATATTCTTGCCCGAGTCACAATGCCTCAGTGGGACCAAGACAACACAACCACACTGGTTATTGCTGTCTTACAAGCCGTAATGCCCTGCCCAGTAGACTGTCTTCAGACTGGGTTTCCAGGCAGAGAAGAGAGATGAGTGTCTGGCTCTCTGAGGCCTGATGCCTTGTAATCCAACCTGGGTCCCACTGGATACTCAAGACAGTGCATCTGTGAGGTGCACAATCCCGTCAACAGGGGTCTGTGCACAGTGTCCTGCCCAGCCTGACCTCGTCTCCTCAGACCCACCAAGACCCCTTCCTGGCCATGCTCAGCCCTCGGCTTCCTGGGAGCCATTTACCATCTTTGAAGGAGCCCTTGTGTGCGCGATTCCGTCCCAGAGTTTTCTGTAGACAAGACACAAGACGGTCAGTGGGCGGGGGGGTGGGGAGGGAGGGGGGAGGGAGGATTGGGTCGGGTCCCCCTCCATTACTATGGCACCCAGAGATTTCCCCCACAGAGAGAGAGGGATGGGTAAGGTGGGGAGGGGCTTGGCTGACAAACAGAAGGGGCTTACTCGATGTGAGCTTCACAAAGTAGAAGCCAGGACAGGTAAAGGTTGGGGTTCAGGGCAGGGGGCTGCTACAGGCCCAGGAAGGCTGCTTAGGGACTAAAACAGTGTTACCTGGAGGGAGGGATGTGGTGGGATTGAAGAAGGGTCTGGACTGGGCAGAATGCTGCTGGATAGAGTCCGGCCCTGGTACCGGTTCAGGGCCCCAGAAACTGAGGGAGACTTCTGGAGAATCCCCACCCTGTACTGGCTTCCCCACACAGGCCCCTGCTCCTTGGCTGGAACACCAGGTACACTGGTTCCAGGAAAGCAGAGGCCAGTTGCTTCTGGTTCCTGAGAACCAGTTGGGGCCTGAAAACTCCCCTTACAGGTCAGGAAGGTGCAACACTGCCAGCCCAACCTGGCCTAGTTCCTTCCTACCCACCCCCATCCCCAACCCCCTTTCTCCATTCCTAGTCTTTCCTCGGTCTCTACTGCCCTGAGACCACGGGGAGCTTCCCACCTGCCAGCCCTTGACCCCCAAAAGTCCCCTCTCTGCACAGGAGCTCTTAGGAGCAGCCACCGCTTAGTACCCCAGCAACGGGCATGTAACAGGTACTGGGGAATGCGTGCTGAGGATGGGACTCACTACTGCTGAGGAATGAATTAATGAGACCTTGGCGGGCCAGGTGCTAAGGGGCAGTGACGGCACTGATCTAGCTGAGGTACAGGGATATACTTCAAGGGTCCCGGCACCTCAGGAGGATGTGGAAGAGCAACTGTGATGATGAACAGTGGCTTGCACCGTAGACACAGAGACCTTGCCTTTACCAAGCCTGGCCTTCACGGAAGCTTGTGGCCTGACCAAGCTGCCTGCTGGTGGCTATCATTCTGACAGTGCCTGCTTCTCCCAAAACCAAGCTGTGGTTCAGGGTCTGTGGAGTTGATGCCCAAGTACGTACGCTTTGCCCAGGATGCTGTGCCCAGCAACAAAGGGCACTCATTTTGGAATGTGCTACAGCTGGATGGCAGCCGCCCTCACTTAGATATGGGGAAACTGAGGCTCAGAAGTATCAGGAATCTGTTAGGGGTCACATAGCCATAAATACCCATCCCAGGACCTCCATGGAAGCTGACTGAGCTGGGGCACCCCTGGATGAGTTTGAGGGAAGCATCTGGCAGAGAGGCCTAGAAGCTCCTCAGCCATGTATCCTTGAAAGCAACTGCCTGGAATGGCTGTGACACAGAGGTCCCCCATCTGACCCTGACAATATGGTAAGGAACAAGCAGGAATGGAGGAGAGGCCACTACCTGACCACAGCCTTCCTGCTCAGTGGGCTACTACATACTGTCCCTCCTTGTCCCACTGGGAGCCCGGTCTTGGGGTCACTGCAAGAAGTGTCATCAGACAGGATGGCCCCATGCTTGGGCTCAAGAGCAGCTGATTCCCTCTGCTGTCCACTCTGGACAGAAGTAGGGACACGGGAAAGTCCCAAGAATGTGACCCAACCTCCTCCAGCCAGAGCATGAGATCTGAGTGCATTCAACTAAAGTAGGAGGACCAGGAGCCTGCACCCAGAAGCTGCCCTGTACGCTGCAGACTTAGGAGACACAGGACCAGGCTGCCCCCTTGCTTGTGAACTCCTGAGCATCTAGAGACACCGCCCATCCCTGCTGTCAGGGCAAGCACCTACCTTATTTTTGGCTGGGCACCGAGCAGGAGGCTGAGTGGACTCCTCAGCCAAGGCCTGAAGCTTGGGGCTGAGCTGAACTGAGTCCCCCTTGCTGCCGGGTGACCCCAGGCCCTTCATGGCTGCCCTGTAGGACTGGTTTCTTATGTTTCGCTTCAGATTCCCACCAGCACCCGCCGTGTCCATATCCATGTCATCCAAGGAGAAACTGGGGGTGGAGAGGAGCCAGGGATCCCGCCGAGCTGCCTCCTTGCTGAGCATGGCTGCCCCAAAGCTCTGGTGACGGGCTGGGGATTTGGTCTTGGCCTTGCTGGCCACTGCCAAACTCTTAGGGATGAGCTGCTCGGTCCCCATCTTGAGCGCCGCAGGGCTCTGCGTGCTGAGGATGATGGGCCGCGACCCCTCATCTTCTGGCGGCACCTGCAGGGGTTCAGAGGTCTCTGGCTCAAAGGCAGCATTGGTCCTGGCTCTCAAGGAGCCCCGGACCATGGGGAGGCCAGGCATTGGATTCCCATTGGCGTCTAGTCGCAGCTCTGCATGGAATCGATATTCTAGTTGTTTCTCATCCAACGAGCTGTCAGGCTGTCTCTGGGACATGCTGGGTGGCAGACTGAGGCCTAGAGAGAGAGAGGCGAACAAGAGATGAGAGGCTCAGAGAGCCTCCCCCATACAGCCTTCCTGGTGTCAATGCTGTTTCTTAGCATCTTCCCATAACAGCGCCCAGGCAAGAACAGGGAGAGCATGGCTGGCTGTGGCTACTCACCGGGAGCCTCCCCTCCAATGTGGCATAGTTACATTAGAGGTCTGCAGAGAAGCTGGGGTCTGGGCTTATCTGAGGCCATGTGCCTCAAGCACACAGCTAGCTCTCCTCAGGTGGGGACAGCCTGTGGCTGGACTGGGCCTCAGGGACTACTCTGCTTCCTTTGACATAATGACTAGTTCCTGGGCGGGGTGCAAATAAGGGCAGGTCTGTGCCCGGGCCCAGAGGCCCCATAGACCAGGACAGGAATCCTGACTAAGCCCTTACTGATGCCTGGACACTAGGTGTATGGTTTTTTATGGGGACAGTATGGTTTCCTGAGACTGTGGCAGATGCTGTGGATGTGACCATGGCCCTGCCTGGCTCTGCATTCTTGTTAAGGACATGTGCTGTCCGGAGGCCCAGGGACCTGCTGGGGACATGACCCTAACAACATGATCAAGAACAAGCAGGATGGATCATAGCCTTCCTCCTCGGTGGCTGTCCACACGGACGCCTCAGAGCCAGGATCCAAGAAAGCCTGGCTGCTTGCCCTGCTCTGGCCAAGCCCACTCCTCATAGCACCTGTAATCTCCATGTTTATGAAGCTGGGGATCCACAATCCCAGTTCTGTCTTCAGGTAAACCCTGGGTCACAATGTATGGAACTGCAGCAGGGAGCTTCAGCCTGAGCCACAGTCTAAGGACTCACCACTGTCCAGCACGGGACAAGAACTGACAGCCATTGCCAATGTTACCCCTTCGGCCGCTCCACCTGCCCATCCCAGCAACTCAGGCGACTTTCCCCTCAGCATTGAGCTGCCCCTGCCCTGCCACCCTGCCCTATCTACTACCCAGGCGACAGCCAGAAGCCCTGAGCAATGGTCTCCAGTGTCCCATTTATTTCTTCACTATTGGCATCTTCTGCCCCCTTGGAGCAGCACAGTCCTAAGGTTGGCTTTGGCTAACAGGAGAGAGAGAACTGGTAGAGAGAAGGGTCCTCCTGGGAAGAGAATCCCACTGGCTAGTGACCCAGAGACTGAGCTGAGCAGATCTCTGACTTGACCAGGAGCCAGAGTAAAGGCTTGTCCGTGAGAACCAGCCATCCACACTGACCAATCTTCTGAGGGTCAACTGTCCACGGTGCTGCCACTTACCTCCGCGATCGGAGGTCCCCAAACACTCGTCAGGAGCTGCCCTTCTGGGGGCCTGGAAACCTGGGGTCCTCAATGGTCACAGATGCCACCTCTTGGTTTTGATTTTCCAATCTGCAAAATGGGCTCAGTAAGAACAAAGGTGTTGCCTGAGGATTTCCTAACAGGCTCCTGAACGACCTGCAAAGCCCATTAAAACAGCTCTGGCTGGCTGGCTGCAGGGTCCATATAGCAGGCCAAAGGCTTTTCTGAACCAACCACCACACTGCACCGGTAATGAGAGAGGCTGGCACTCAGGAGACTTCGTAGGACTCTGGTGTAAATAAAACAGAGAAAACTCCCTTCTGTACATATTTCCCCTTTAATTTTTTCTAAAAACAAGAGGAGCCAGTGTCTAGGAAGGCTTTTATTTGATCAGAACTTCGTACAGGTTAAAATGGCCTGATTCTAAGAGGGTTGTGGAGGCCACACCACATAACCTCAGCACCAAAGAGGCTGGGACAGGAGGCTCTAGAGTTCTAGGCCAGCCTGGGATACTTACATACATAGTGAGACTATCTCAATGAAATAAAACAAACAAACAAACAAACAGACAGACAGACAGACAGACAATCCAAATCTCAACTTATGAGCCTTCCAAAAGGGGAGTTGGTTTTTCAGTTAAACCGGCTCCTCGTCCCTTGCTCACCCACATCTGGAGTGAGGCTCTGGGCTCAGCACTGGACCACAACACGTGCCCTTGTCTTTTGCCCTGGGCACTGTCCCAGTATCATATCCCAGGGTGTGGTACGTGCCTTGCCTGACAGAGCAGGTGGACTGAACTAGACCGGAAAGGACAGCTACCTTGGGGGTTACCAGAGGCGGGGGCGGGGACAAGGCTGTTTGGATGGGTTCAGGGCAGCAGGAGCTGATGACTTTGTCCTCTAGGAAGATCATACCCACCCCAGAGCTCCAGGCAGGTCCTACCCATATTTCAGAACACAGAATGGTGTCACGACCCTGCCCAGCAGTCCCTCCTCGAAGGGAGCAGAGCTGGTCACACACTGCTAAAGCACAAGGCACCCAGGAAGCTGGCCATGTCCCAGCTCACCCCCTGAAGCCCTAGGCTCTTCTAGCATAGAAGCTCTTGGCTACAACTATCCCAAGAAGTTGAGTACAGCCAAGCATTGCCAGCCCCAGGGAGGGGCGGGCTGGGGCCTTAGTGTCCTGAGAGCAGGGGAGGGTGCATTCCTAAGGACATTCCAAATTGTAGCTGAGGATGATAGCAGTCACACCAGGCCTCCCCCGGGCGGGAGCTGGCATCTGTCACACACTTGTGGTGTGAGGCAGGCCCCACACCCATGTTAACGTGTCTGGTTCACCAAGGTCTAGAGAAGGGTGGTTTAGTTGTCTTCCAACGGCCCAGACAGACTTCATGTCCAGTTCGTTTACACAATGATCATTTCACTTAGAAAGAACAGACTACACAGGAGGGCCCAGGGCCATTAGTTTACCTCCTCTCCTACCAGCAAACACCCATCACTCCTAAGCTAGTGTCTCAGGCCTGACTGACAGACAGCATAGCCCCTGGCAGGCGGTGACCTCTCCCAGCAGAGGGCAAAGTCCATTCCGGGGGCCAGAAGTTGCTCAAAGGGAATCTGTCAGGTGAGCCGTTGCTTGCTGGGAGTGGCTTTCAGTCCCAACCTGGCACCACACCCACAGGTCTGGCAAACACCCTGCCTGGCACCCCAGAGAGTGGGGAGTGGGGATGAGGGCTATGGGTACCTGTCCTGTCAAGTGGCACCAAAAGGCCTGCTGGACACGTCTCCTGAAGCTGCCCGGTCCCCAGACGAGACGTGTGTGTGTGTGTGTGTGTGTGTGTGTGTGTGTGTGTGTGTGTGTACAACCATACATAACATAGCTGTGAGGGTTCATGGGCAGCCATGAGGCTGGCCTGCCTTTTGTTAATCATTTCCACTCCCTCTGCAGCCAGTGTTCCTGTTAATCCCCCCCCCCCCAAAGCTGTCCAGTTTCACTTTCCCATGCTTCTTGAGTCTGGCCCGTCTGTGCTGGGGCAACTTCCAGGTCTTCTCGGGCACCCTCCTAGCTCAGGGTGGGGGTTGGGTAGGTGGGTGGTCCTTAGGATTGGCTCAGGCTATCCTCAAGACATTAGGGCTCTCTCTAAAGCAAATGCAAGTCATTGTCACAGGAAGGAGTGGGGGCCAGATTTGAAGTGTCTGTAAACATTTTTCTTTTTAGTATTTACTTATTTTAGGTGTATGAGTGTTTGTATGCATGTATGTATGAGCATCAACGCATGCCTGGGGCCTGCATAGGTCAGAAGAGGGCGTCAAATCCCTTGGAACTGGGGTTGAAGACAGACGTGAGCTAACCATGTCGGTGCTGGGAACCAAACCCAGGTCCTTTGCCAAGAGCAGCAAGTGCTCTTAACCTCTGAGCCATCTCTCCAGCCCCAGATCTATCTATCTATCTATCTATCTATCTATCTATCTATCTATCTATCTATCTTTCTTTCTTTCTTTCTTTTTTGAATTTTTGAAATAAGGTTTTACTATATAGCATTGGCTGGCCTGGAACTCAATACAGGCTGGCCTCAAACTCATAGATCTGCCCGCCTCTGAGTGCTGAGATTAAAGGTGTGTGCCACCAAGCTGGCAGGGGGTGGATTTCTGAGGGCCAGAACACATCTTTCCCTCCTCCTCTCTCCCACTGGGGTTTCTTATCTGGAATGTAGACACAGCCTCCTCTGCTCTTGCTGCCTGGTTGGGGCTCATGGTGCCTCAGACTCCTCTTCCTCTTTGATGTCCCATGCTTCTCCCTACACTGCCCTGCAGAGGGCTCGGGCCCCATACTCACTCACTAAGCCAGGTGCCAGGCAGAGTTACAGCCTGCTTGTCCCTGTTTCTCAGACCTGCGGCTGCAAGTGCTGTGATAATATTTCCTGGGTCATTTCCTCTCCACTCCCCACCCCTGCTGGGAGACAAACCTGGGACCTCACCCATGCCACTGCTACACCTCCGAGCTATACCTCAGCCCCTTGCCTTATTATAATTTGCTACAGGGTCTTACTAGATAGACCAGTTTGGCCTTGAACTTGCTCTGCAGCCCGGCTTGAGCCTCCAGTGGCTGGGATTCCAGGCAGGCCTGGGGCACTGAGTCTATTTTTTTCTTTTCTTTTTTTTTTTTTAAGATAGTTTCTTGCACCATCTTATCTTTCTGGAACACTCACTAATCAAGACTGAACCAGGTGGTGCAGGCTCACGTTTTTAATCCCAGCACTCAAAGGCAGAGACAGGCAGATCTCTGAGAGTTCAAGGCCAGCCTGGTCTATAGACAGAGAGTTCCAGGACAGTGATAGGAGATGTCATTCTGTAAATATGTTTCTCTTATTGGTTAATGAATAAAGCACTATTGGCCTATAAGGAAGCAAGATAGGCGGGACTAAGAAACAGGGAGGATTCTGGGAGATGCAGTAGAGAGGGGTGGAAATGTAGGACACAGGAGAGTTAAGAGGCCCGGACAGGAAGGTCTCTCCGGTAAGGTAAGACCACATAAGACCACGTGGAAACACTTAGATGGATAGAAACGAGTTAATAGCTAAGGCAGAGCTAGCCAATAAGAAGCTCTAGCCATTGGCCAACAGCTTTATAACTGATAGAGTCTGTGTGTTATTTGGGGCTAACGAGGCTCTGGGGCCGGGCTGGCGGGAAAGTGCTGGTTTCTTTGACCTCCTTTTGGAGATGCCTCCCCTCGGTTCAACCTCCTGACTTCTGCCACCCTCTCTTGTCATGTCTGTGTCACCCGCAAAGAGGCCTTTTGCACCCTCTCACTGCTCTTCATTCCTAGCACCCTGTTCTCCTTTCCCGAAGACAACATCTCCCAATGACTTAGAGGGCAAGCATCCTGTTTTCTTGTATGTGATTCTGTTGGCTGCTGCTGGCTACTCACTTTCTTCCCGTGTCTTATCTCCCCTGGACCTTGGTGTCTCAGACATGAAACTTTCAAAGAAGCTGCTTTGATTTCGGTTGCTGATGGGGCCCAAGAGCACAGGCTCTGTGCCCTGGGGCTGTAGACTCACTGATGCAGCCCATGTCTTCTTGAGACAGGCTTTCCTTCCAGGCTGGCTGGCCTCCCATTCCCCTTCTAGTGGCCTCCAGGGAAATAACCAACCATGGCCACCCACCAGCAGTATTTTTGAGAGTGGGCTGTGAGGTTTCCCAGACTCCATATGGGCCAAGGGTGCGCCTTCTCCTTATTTTAAGCACTCCAGGTTCACCGAGAGCATGGAAGCAACTTTAAAGACACCTTCTACAGGTGCCTGGCTGCGTATCCCTGAAAGTCTTCTGGATTCAGGGACAACTTCTTCTACATGCCCCCCATGTGGAGCTCAATTCCCGAATGGATGCTGGCACTTCTTCCCTGTCCTGGACCCATCCTGTGTCTCCCTGAAGAGGCTGTGATGTTCTAGGAGAACCAACTTGCCCAGGGGTTCTGCTTAAAAGCAGCAGAAATGGGGCCAGAGCCACTCAGCAGACCCAGATGCAATAGTGTGAGTAACTGCTAGCTGCTTCTGCTCAGGGTGGGCTGGAAATGGCCCCATGATTGAGGCCTTAGAACCCACAGCCCACATTCCCTTTGCACAGGGGTAGCAGAACCATAGGGAGGGATACCATGCTGAGCCAGTGAGATCTTGACAGACAGACATCTCAGGGGACCACTGTGGGTGTGGTCCTGGATGAATAGGCCTCTCAGTCCTCTGGTCCTGCACCCTTTTAGGAAGGTCAGCTTCCCACAAACCTTGTGGATACCTGTGCTCCCTTCTAGTCCCCTAAGCCTAATTTCTTCTTAGTCTGGGCCTGTTGAAGCTGGTCACAGCTGGTCAGAGGAACCCAAACCTCCCAGAGTCTGAGCTGCTCTGCCTTGTTGTAGGCCCTCCATCACCAGCTCTGAGGCTGAGCCACCTCCACCAGGTGAGGCTCGGCTTCTTTAGCAGCAGACTCAGCCAGCCCACAACGGTGGCCTTGTACCTGGGCAACCTGCCTGTCTGAGCTGGGGAGCTGGAGTCAAACAGAATTTGCAGCTGGGTTCAGCTTTGTAATCAACCAGTTACATTCCGGCTGAGCTCAGGAGGGTCTCAGCCGAGAGTGTTTTGTCCACCTGGAGACAGTTTGTTAACATGTGAAGACACTGCTGTTCATACCCACTGGCGTTCTGTGTGCTGAGGCCACGATGGCGGGATCCACAGAGCACAAAGCAAGCAGCTGGAACAAATACTACCAAAGCTGGTGTGGGGAAAACCAGTCACAGCTAGCTAGAGTCACCCTTCACCCACCAGGTGCAAACAGTCAGCCCACAACAGCAGCTTGTCACTCACTCACTCACTCCCCTTTCACTCCATAAGCCCAGCGGGGTCCCGTGTAAGGGTCCGGGAAGCAGAGTCCTGACCTGATGGGAACCTGGGGCCAGGCCTCCATTGTCCAGTTCACCAGGCGAGAAACAGGTACCCTCTGTCCTGCTAAGTCTTCAGGCCCCTACCCAAACTTCTGGCCTCTGCGAACCTTCCCTTGTCATTGAGAAGCCAGGACGGAGGGAATGTGACCTGCCTGGGTCAAGCCCCAGGCAGTAAGGTGGGAGGAGCCAAGCCCTGAGGCCCCATCCTGACCTAGATGGCTGCCCTCAAACCAGGAACTGGATGCAGACGGCAGGGGATTCTGGACTGCTACAGAGGGACAGTCACCTGCACAATATGTCACAGGCACAAGCAATGCCTAGATGGATCTGGAAACCAAAACCAAAACCTCCAGGCCCTGTGGCCAAACAGAAATGCAACCCTCACCTTCCGGGGAGAGGACCTGTTGTCTCCATGAACAAGCCTTGGGGCTTTGCCTCTACAGCCAGGCATGCTTCCTCACACATGGGTGAGAGGACTTCCCTGCTCTTCCAGGGGACAGGGTTCAAGTCCCAGCACCCACATGGTAGCTCGCACTGTCTGAAACTCTAATCCCTGGGGATCTGATGCCCTCTTCTGACTTCCATGGACACCAGGCACACCTGTGCTGTGCATGCATAAATACAGGCAAAACACTTAAACATATGAAATAAACCATTAAAAGAGTAGTTTCTGGTTTTAGGAGCTTGGAGAAGGGAGCCTCTCTACCTAGCTTTCTCCATCTTGTTCCCCTGTGTGATGCAGCCCTTACTTTTTCAAGGAAGCCTGGAGACCCTTTCCCTTCACCAGGCAATACCGTAAAAAGTCTTCTCTCTGGATGATGGGCATCCTGAGGACATGGGCTGACAGAAGCATTTATCCCCAAAACAGGAACACAGCAGCAGCCGACTGAATCAAAGCCGTCTGAGAGATAAACTGAGGCTAGCATACAGGCTCAAGCAGCTTGCCTGAATTCACACTTAGCAACTTTCAAGCCTGGTGTCTACACACCAGGTAGGAGACCAAGGGTATCTGGGCAAACAGGCATACAGCCACGAACGGACTCACACACACGGTACCCTGCAATTCATCACCCAAGCAAGCATCCACTTAAGGGCTATCAGCTCCTGTCTGGGCTCCAGGTGTGATGTGGAGGCCACCGAGATCTCAGCGAGGCTGCTGCCAACTCAGTGCCCTGCTCCTGAGGCCCATGCCCAGGTTTCATCTTTCTCACTCAACCTCAAAGTAGATCCCTGCTCCAGATTTACAGATATGGGGGTCAAGGCAGGGGGGGTGGGGACAGGTGCCCACCGTCCAGCCTGCAAGTGGCTCCCGCGGATTTCCGGAGGAGCAGCTCCCTCCCACTGGAAGGCTCTGCGGAGCCCGGTTAGACGGCTAGCCGCAAGGGCCATCAAGATGGAAAAAACGGCAGGGAGGGATCAGGCCCCTCAATCTTGGAGCCCATCTGAACAGACCGTCTTTCTAGCTCCCGGAAGAATGACTTCCACGCTCCCCCCCACCCGGGACTTCCCAGAAGTCTCTGTTCCCTAGCGTTTAACCAGGTCCGCTGCAAAGTGTCCCTTGGACTGCGCGGCTCAGGGCACTTAGAATCCTAGTCCCGGGCTTGCAACTCCAGCGAGAGGGCGGGGCGCGACGCAGTCGCCGAGGTCCGGAGCAGGGGCGCCCGGGAGGCCCAGGTTGGCCCCCACCTCGACTGACTCTCCAGTCCCCAGACTCACCTGTGCGCACGGCCGAGGAGCGGTCCCACCGCGGGACGGCGGGGCGGGTACAGCCTGCAGTGCCGCTGGGTCCCGGCGTCCTGCGGCCGATCGGTCCCGCCCTCCCTACTTCCTGCGCAGCGGGCGAGCGGGCGGAGGGCGCACGGGCGGAGCCCGGACCAGGTGGGCTCTGCCGGCGGCTGCGCGGCCGGAGGGCGGGACGCACCCTGGGCACCTGCTGCACAGGGGCCGCCTCACCTGGCCGGGCCAGCTGCGTCACCGCACTACCTGGGCCCGCCTGCGTCCACGTGATCAGTCTGGTTGTTCGGGCCAGAGTCCGCCCTTGGGTACTGTCTACTCTCCCTCCAGCTCCTACGCCCGCTTCCATTCTGTACCTGTCTCTGGGCTCCTCTGCCACCTCCAGGAAGTCTTCCGAGAGAGCCCGGGCCTGCGGGAACCTGCTTGCTGAAGGAAGGCCCCACCCACTGCATTCTTTGCACCTGGCTACTTAAAGGCAGCCAGGATCTCCCAGAACAACCTCCATAAGTGATCTATCCACCATTACCCCATTTTACAGAGAACTCTGAGGGCTGGAAATTCTGCCAGCCACGCAGGTCCCGCCTTGATTCTCCTGAGTTCAGGAAAACACTCCCAAGTCCATGTAGTGTCCTCAGGGACGATGCTGTAAAGCCCCATTGGGGCTTTAGGGACCAGGCCTCCGGTGTGGGAAAAGATGGGGCTGCACCATTGTCCTCCAAATCCGAGCCCCCAAGGGTAAGCAGAATTAACAGATAAAAGAGAGAGGAGCAGAGCAGGCAAGAGTCACCGTGAGCGCAAGGGTCAAGACGGGAGCATGGACGGGGCAGAGAGCACAGGGCAGCTGAGTAGGCACAGAGGCTGGCTGCGCCCAGCCTCCATCCAAGAGTATGTGAGTCCAGCCAGTCCCGAGGCTGCCTCAGGCTCCTGAGCGCAGGGGTTACGTTCAGACAGGTATCACCGCACCTGGGACTTTTCATTTTTCTTCATGCAACATTGAACTCATGGTTTGACATTCCCAAGACACCTCAAAATATGATCATCATAGCAGACCCAGAGGAGGGGACAACGGAGCTGTCTCTCTCACCTGTCAACACAGCTGTCTCTTACAGTGGCTCTTTCTCTACCTGGCTCACTGTGGAACCCAGGGCTGAGTGTCACAGGGACACCGTGACTGTCTGATGACCTGGGTGACAGCCAGAGGCCTTCCTGACCCACCTCTATCATCTAATTGCAGGACGGATCTCACACCCTGGTCCCCTTCATGGTTCTCCATGCGGTGGCCCAGGCAGTGTCACCCAAGAGCTTGTCTCACTGAACACATTTCTGAGAGGGATAATCCCAGAGACTCTAGCTTGGCACTTTCTGTCAATTCAGTGTGAGGGGTGTGCGTGCCCTCATCCTCTGCCAACCTCAGCCCTGAAGCTAGGTGGCTTGGTTGCGCCATCCTCTGCTCTTTCCGGTGTGATATCATCTGGGGCAGGGCACAAGTAGGACTGATGTCACTTGGAAGGAGAAGAGCTCAGAGTGACCTGTGGACTCCTTGGGTAGCCTGCTGGTGTGCTGCTAGGTGGCTCCTGGGAGAGGAGGGTTGTTGCTGACCCCCTGAGGCCATTGTTGGGTATTGCGCTCACCAAGCCCAACCTCCATAAAAGTGCCTGGGGTGTTTTGGAGCACACTGACCAATGGAAAGGGGAGGCTGAAGCCCAAAAGGAGGCCAAGTCAGCCCCTGCTGAGTGCTGTCTCATCACACCCTGATGAGTACCCTGAAAGAATGAAAAGACAGGAAAACAAACAAAAACACCTCAATCACAGAACAGTTAATAGCAGGGAAGACTCAACAGTGCAGGCAGAATTGACAGACCAAAAATAATATTTTCTTTTCTTTTCTTTTTGTAACAGGGTCTCACTGTGTAGCACAGGCTGGCCTAGAATCATTATGTAGACCAGGCTGGCTCAAACACACAAAGATCCGGCCGCCTCTGCCTACCTAGTGCTGGCATTAAAGGTGTGCAGCACCATTCCTGACCAAAAAAAACCGTACATGTCAAGGCACGCAGAGAGAAAGACACCCCGCACCCCACCTCAACCCTCCCACCTCCCCCCACACCCCCTACCCCCGCAAAGCAGATGGGGCACAGAGGAGGAAGTCCAGGTGCCTTCTGGTCAGCAATAGGTTGTTAAGGGTATTTGGTATGCTGCAATGGAGGTCACCTTTCTTCTCCCTCCAGCAGCAGATGGGAGCCAGTGCACAGATGAGACGTTATGTGTAGAGAGTCTAAATCCGAGGTCTCCATCAGTTCCTTCCCCCTTGGAGCTTGGGGAACCTCACAGAAGAGGGGGCAGGAAGATTGTAGGAGTCAGAGGGGAGGGAGGACACCAGAAGAACATGGTCCCTGAATCAACTAAGCAGGGCTCACACGGGCTCGGAGAGACTGAAGCAGCAAGCATGGGGCCCGCAGGAGGCCTGCCTGCAGCGTGTCCTCTGTGTATATGTTGTTGTAGATGGAGTTTCTGTCCTGCCCGGCCCTGCAGCCATTTAATCCTTAATAAACATACAGAGGCTTCTATTAGTTATAAACTGTTTGGTCTATGTCACAGGCTTCTTACTGGCTAGGCCTCTCTTAATTATTAACCCATTTCTATTAATCTAGGTATTTCCACGTGGTCTTGGCTTACGGGAGAATGCCCATAGTCCTATCTTCCTGGTAGCTACATGGCATCTCCCCCAACAACTCTCTCTCCTCCTCCTCTTTCCAGCATTCTCCTAGTCTGGCAACGTTTTAGTAAACCATTAAGAGAAACATATATTCACGTCATACAGAAGGACCTCTCCCATCATGTTGTGGCTGTTAGCTTGGTGTTTCTGTGGGACTCCTAACTGTGGGGGCAGGTGTGTCTCTGATGCTTTTCCCTGCTCTTGAGACTTTCCCCATTCTGTTGGGTTGTCCCATCCAGCTTCATTGTAAGGGCGTTTGCCTGGTCTTATTGCATTTTGCTTTGTCCTGTTTGGTTGTTTTCTCTTGGAACCCTGCTCTTTTCTGATGGGAGATGGCGGGAGAGTAGATCTGGGGGAGAGGGGGGCTGGAGGAGCGGAGGTAGGGGAGATTGTAGTATAAGAGAAGAATGTATTTCCAAGTTAAAAAAAATCAAATTATGGGAACTGGAGAGATGGCTAAGAAATTAGGATCACTTGCTGCTCTTCCAGAGGACCTGAGTTTGTTTCTCAGCACCCATGATGGATGGCCTACAACTGCATGTAACACCAGCTCCAAGAGATCCAATACCCTTCTATGGCTTCTGAAGGCACCTGTACACAGAACCCTACTAGGTGATGCAAGCATGTGAGAAGCCCACTAGGTGATACAAGCATGTGCATTAAAATTGAGGGCTCTTTTTCTGTGCTTTAAATGATTTTTTTGAACGGTGCTTTTAATTAAAAGCAATGACTCTAAGTAAGTCTGATATTTGCAAAGGTGAGTAAATCAAATCATAGAAAAAGCTCAAAACACAGCAGAGGATCTGTTCTACCTAAACTCCTACCACGGCTGCCATGTACTACAGGTCGTAAGATGAAGCAAACCCTCCCTTCCTCAAGATGCTTTGGGTCACAGTCAAATGCAATGGTTAGTTTCAGATGCTTGTGTTTGAAAAACAAGACATGTTCCAAATCCATGATCTATACCTCTATCTTCAAATATTTTTTTTAAATTAGTACAAATTGGAACAAAAATAAACCGAAGAAATAAAACAATAAATCATCAGAAGATAGTGTACTAGGAAACTGGTCTACAACATAAAAAAAAAAAAAAAAAAAAGAAAAATCAACAAACAAAAACAACAGAGATAACTGTTTGAACAGTTCAATGAAATGGATAGCTTTAGACTGCTTTAAAAAAAAAAAAAGAGGTTAGACTCGAATGATGGAGTATCAGGAAGGAGAAAGAGCCATCACCACAGATCTCACAGACTAAAACGATGGGGAATTTGCCACAGATTCAACAACTTAAAGGAAATGGCCAAGTCTCCCTTAAGGTGTTAATCATAAAGAGATTATCTAAATGGGACTGTATCTGTGAAGATACAGAGTGAAGAACTGGCTCACACTTTTGTTTGTTTAATGGGTGGGGGGACAAACACGCCATGGGGCATGTTGTGGGGCTCAGTTCTTTGCTTTCTCCATGCTGGTTCTAAGGCTCCAACTCAGGTTGTCAGGCTTGGCAGCAAGCGCCTCGACTCACTGAGTAAAGAAACAAACAAACACATTTCTGAAGAGGATCCTGCAGGCCCTGAAGATGCTTAAGATCTAATCCAACAGAAGAAATAGTATTTGCCTTACACAGAGTGTAGTGTGTCAAGGACTCAAAAAAGCAGATGTTGCCCATCACCTCACATTATGTGTCCACTATTATCCTAAAGTCAACACTAAACACGTTATGAAAATCTCCCACAGAACTGCAGACTAATATCCCTCACGGACATAGAGGCAATCATCTTCTACAGAACATTAATGAGTCAGCTCTAGCCATGCACACGATAGATGATAATTGCTGTGGGATATTTTGATACACTCACACTCTTGAGGCTGGCAGTAAAGTTTACTTTGCTTAGAGGGCGGAGCCAGCTACTCCATGACCAAAATCAGGCTTTGGAGGATAGCGAACATATACATATGGCCACAGGAAGCAGCAGGGTGAGCCTTGACCCTTTTGGGTTGGATCAAGGAAGGAGAGAGAGAGAGAGAGAGGAGGTCACTGGTCATTTCTCTACTGCTTCTCTGATCTTTCAGGTTCTTACACCAATATCTTACACTCCTGAGCTATTATTATTAAAATAATAATTAGGTAAATAATAAATGCTTCATCTGGTGTCCAACACATGGCATGAGATGATGATGTAGATGCTTGCTGCCACAGACAGAGTTAAAAATTAAAGACCTACGTAGAAAAGTTTTCTGAATTGATTCTGAAGGGAAAACTGAGACTTCATCAATCATCAGGGATAGGCCCAGCAGAAAGTGTGGAACCTTTCACCGACGCTGAAACTGCCTCATTATGGGCAGAAAATGAACACTGGCAAAGAGCTTGCAGTAACTTCTTGAGAGACA